TTTGACCAATCCCTGCACTCTCTCTGCAGCCACTTCCTTTAAAACACTTGGTTACACGTTGTCAGGTCCTGGAGATTTCTCTGCCTTTTGTCCCATCAGTTTATCAAATACCTTGTTTCTCATAACAGAAACTGTTGCAAGATCTTTCCTCCCACTGACATCTTGCTTATCTGTTATCTTTGAGATGGAGTGAGATATATATTTGTCATGTTACTAGCCATGCAGGTACTGCAATGTACTGTTTTGAAAAACAGTTTTTGATGCATTCTACAAATTTGTCTTCCATGCCACCCTCACTCATCCAATTTGTCCAGCCAATATTCGGATTATAATCACCCGCTAACAATTATAATGCCCTTTTGGACACACTTCCATTAATTCCAAATTTATACTCTGTCCTCCAGTGAGGTATCTGTTTGGAATCTGTCGAACCATTCTGACCCATGACTTCCTTCCCTTGCCATTCCTTACTTCAACCAAACTGATTCCACATCATGCATCTATATCACTACCCACACCCATTGTTAACAAAGCTCCTTACCTTTTTTCTTTTGCCTAATCTTCTGTAGCATTGAATGCTGTCGAATACTGAGTTCCTAGACTTAGTCACCTTGCACCCATGTCTCTGTAATAGCTGTCAAGTTATATTCATTTATTTCTGTTTGTACCTTTTACTCCTTTATCTTGTAACAAATGCTGTGTGCTTTCAGATAAAAAGCCTTAAGCTTTGACTTTTTAACCAGTTTATTACTTACTTGGGGTCAGTTAGCACAGGTTGGCGATGCAGAGTGACGCTAACAGTGTAGATTCAATTTCTGCACTGGCCGAGTTCCCCTCGACCTCTCCCCTCGCCTGAGGCATGGTGACCCTCAGGCTAAACCATCACCGTGTCGTCTCTTCAGTAAGAGAGCAGTCCTGTGGTCTGGTAGGACTGTAGTGACTTTATTCTTACTCTGGTTTTAACTTCAGCTGAACTATTCTTCCTCCATTTTCTACCACATCCTGTCTCACTTTGATTATTGGCCACATGCATTCATTCCCAGATTAATATCGGATTGTGTGTAGCTTGGCTGTGTGAGTTGCTGCCTGTTGGAACTACCTGATTCATTTCACATCAGTGTGTGGACTGGGCTGTGGGAGTTCGGAGGAGTAAGGGGCAGTCTCTTCACCCACAACAAACCGGCCTTGCTGAATGAAGTTTGTTACTGTGACTTTAACTTCCACTGACCGACCATCACTTCTCAATGATTTTTCTCCTTTAGTATTTCTGGGTGCTGGTCTTTTGCTGTGCCTTAGTTGGTATTGGGGAGGCCAGTTACTCAACCATTGCCCCCACCATCATTGCTGACCTCTTTGTGGATGATGCAAGGACCTTGATGATCTCCATCTTCTACATTGCCATCCCAGTGGGAAGGTAAGTGTGCTCATGATGGATTTTCCTGAGTATATTATAATAATTTTAATAATTTCAAGATGTCTCAGTCAAAACCTATAACATTCTAATAGGACTAAACAGGACAAACATAGGAAAGATGATCCCAATGACCGGGGAGTACAAAACCAGGGGTCACAGATTAAGAATACGGGGTTGGCCATTTAGCACTGAGATGAGGAGAAATGTTTTCACCCAGAGAGTGGGAATCCTGTGGAATTCACTGCCACAGAAAGCAGTTGAAGCTAAAACATTGAATACTTTCAAGAAGGAGTTAGATATAGTTCTTAGGGCTAACGGGTAGGGGGGAGAAAGCAGTATCACGACACTGAGTTGCTGGATCAGCCGTGATCCTAATGGAGCAGGCCCCAATTGCTGAATGGCCTACTCCTGCTCCTATTTTCTGTGTGTCTGTGGTCTCTTTGGGAATAGAATAAAACAAAACAACATGGCTTAGACTCCAACAGCTGGAGCCGTAGAACCTTCTGGAAGGTTCTCACAGCATCGCTGCGTTCCTTAATTAGGCAGAGTAAGCAGAGGTGGTGTGGAACTATTTCACCAGTGGGACTGATGTCGATGGGTGTCTGTGCCAACTGGAGTGCCCACCAGGAATGATGGGGATGGGTAACATAGCACCAGCCTTGCTCACCACTTGGACAACTGGAAACCGGAAGCTCTGATCCAATCACCCACACCTTCACAAAGCAAAACTAACATCATGATTTTAAATGGGAGGAGTGACTGGGCTCACGCAGTGAGGACTTGATGAGCTCCAGCCTGCTTCCACGCTGTAGGGATTCTATAATTCTAAGGTACTTACCCAGGAAGGCCAAAGAATGGTCAGAATGTGGAACTCGACCACAGTTTAAGTGAATGGTACAGACCTATTGAAGATGAAAGTAGACCAGCCCTCAATGGCAAATTTAAAACATGGGAAGGAGGCTTGAGTGGAGCATTCAGCATGAGCTGGTGGGCTGAATAGCCTGTTTTTGTGCTATCTATCTGATGTAATCTGCTTCACAACTTGCAAGTTCTGTGACCAAAGGAGAGTGAATTTTGATGGGACTCAATTTGCATTTTCTTCATAATTCCTCTTTAGGACCTTAGAGGAGTCAATACCAGCAAAATAACAAATTGTGTTTTTGGTGGTATAACACTGACCATCTTAAAACAAAACTATTTATAATCAATGACAAGACTGGAAACACAATGCTTTGTTGTCTGTTGTGTCCTGCTCAAGGCCAGGTCCTATCTCAAATTCTTCAGCTGTTTCGATGGGGAAGAGTAGCTGAGTTGGTTTCTCATTAGGTTCCTCACAGCTTTTATCTTTCGACAAATATCTGACAATGGGGCTGTCACCAAGATGATAGAGTCTCAATCTCTTTTACAATGGGGACAATCCCAACCAGTGAGTATAAATTTCTCCACTGGACGTCAACTCAGTATTGAGCCCTGGTCAAATAGAACATCTCCTCATGCAATCCAAATGCTTTTCTCTATCTCAAACATTTGACAGATTTAAACAAAATAAGCAGATGGAAGGTATCGCATACAAAGGTAAAATAAAGAACTGCAGATCCTGGGTATCTGAAGCAGAAGCAAAAATTTCTACTTTTGTTTACACATGAATGAATGTCTTTATCATAGTTTTCATAGTTTTTAATTTTCAACAAAGCAAGTGGCTACAACTCATTCCATAAATTGACGTCAACCAAAAAAGGTTGTACAGCATGGAAACCGGCCCTTTGGCCCAATTTGTCCATGCTGACCAGGTTTCCTAAACTGAACTATTCCCATTTGCCTGCATTTGGCCCATATCCCTCTTAAACCTTTCCTATCCATGTCCATGTCCAAATGTGCTTTAAATGTTGCCATTGTACATGCCTCTACTACTTCCTGTGGCAGCTTGTTCACTACACTCACCACCCTCGATGTGACATGAAAAAGTTGCGTCTCGAGTCCTTTTTTAAAATCTTTCCTCTCTCGCCTTAAACTTATGCTGTCTAGTTTTGGACTCCCCTACCCTGAAGAAAAGATCTTGGCTATTCACCCTATCCATGCACTGCACCTCCCCCCCTCCCCCCCCATCACCAATGATTTTATAATCCTCTATAAAGGTCACCCCTCAGGTACAAATGTAGGCATCACTTGTCCTCTGTCGAAGTCCCAGGACCTTGGTGGATATGTAGGACTGTGAATCTATTTCCTACAAGCAGTGGCCACTCTACAATGAGATATGTTTGACTCCTTTAATTAGAATTGGCTGCATTGGTTGGTGAATGTTCTCCACAGTTGGTGACTTTCGGAGACTGTGGGGGTAATGGTGATGGTTCGCATGACTGGCGTCATTGACCAAGATGGGTGTAAACAGTCAAATAAAAAGACATGTGTTTGTTAATGAGTTCAGCTTCAGATGGAGTCCAGCTTTCTGCCATTGAAACTACTGATTTAAGCTGGGAGGAGGATCGTGGCAGAATTCCGAGGTGAGGCGGTCAAAGGGGTTGTTGGACAGAATGAACTTTGCTAAATTGAAGTGTTGAGATACTACAGAGTGAAACTGTTTTATTTGTTCTGTTGTAGTGGTCTGGGTTACA